TACGCGCCTGAAAACACCCATTCCGACTGGGATCTTTGTCCTCTACAAATTTCACATGAATTAATCGAACAACATGAATTAGCTTTGACTAGTTTGAAGGTGCCAAAGTAGTTCCTTGAAACTGTTCCAGCGAATCAATAAAACTTTTTACGGCCACTTCACTAGTCGTTAGACTGAAGAATTTATTAGTTTTTGGTATAGTACCCTCGCACTCAAAGTAGTGGCTTTGTGAAACTTCGAAACGATCACAGGGTATCTCTATAATCTCGCACTCGGCACCTGATACGGCTGTGCACTTTTGATCGCTGACATCTGGATGATTTGCACTCTTTTTCACTGAGTTCGCTGGGATCAAATTCAGGTTTTAGGTGAACTACCGAAAGACCTGAAGTCGCCAGTGTGGTGAAATAACTAGCATAGTAAAATGGCTTGTGGTCGGTGGTCTCATGCAATAGTCCCCTTCCTACTGTAGAGTCGTCCGTCGGTCACGTCGGCGAGCGTCCACAGGCGGCCGGAGGTATTTACGGGCTGAGCTGCTCGAGAGCGTGGATACGGTAATTGAATTGGCTTCCCGAGGGAGAAGCAGGTGAATTAAGGGGGGAAATGAGGCTCAGTCGAGAGAGAGTGAGCCCGGCAGAGGCGCACACATTGAAGCGAATCTAATCAACGCTGACAGCCGGTGTCTGCACAGCAGCCGACCCCTTCTGACCGAACAGCCATAGCGGATGCCGATACCGATCACATGAGTAGAGTGCGGCTCGGCGAAAAACCTCAGTTTTAGTGCCATGGGGTTTTTCGATAAGTATTTCAAATTATTTCAGTAAGAATATGGCATTGCCTTGTTTGGTCAAGGGAGGGGCCTAGAAATATTTTAGAAAACTTAAATGGAATTAGCATGGAAAACTAGGAAATTTCTTGTGCAATTCAGAACTAAACGAAAATAAAGAATGTAAAAAGGTGATAGCAGGAGTTATTCGGCTTTCCTAGAACGAGCGAATTTAAGTGTGTAATGGGGTAAAAAATTCCTTGAAAAAACTTTTGATCATCAGAATTCGGTTTCGGCT